GTTTTCTTTGAGAAAAGACGTTGAAAAATGCGGTACTTGTAAGATAGCCATTGCTCTTTTCACAGCACACTGAACATGATTTCGTCTGCTTATGACTATRTATGAAAATASAACGATWAATAATGAAAACGTTTCAATGTACAAACGCTCGCATGGAAACTCCACAAGGTATTTACCAACTTTTTCTTTCTCAACAGAGGCAGTAACAATAGATGACATCAAACGYGTTAGTTCCCGGATGGTCGCTTCCAATCCCTCCGTGGCTGCCTATGGCAATCTGTCCGCGTTGCCTAGGYTCGAGGATATTCAACAAGCATTCGCAAACAAAGGAAATTTCCCAGGAAAATCGTTGTTTAGTTTCAGAAGGGTGTAAAARCAAGCGAATTTAACCGTTTCTAAGAAGACATAAATGGACTTCTCGATATGAAGTTACTCAAGAATATTGACAAGAATCAAAGGCCACATACTGGACTTCCTGTGTAACGCTGGCCACAGAATATGAGGACAAGAAATGTTGAAGACCTTTGGATGGTTGGATGTTTTATTACATCTGTACATTTGTACATCTGTCGACACTGCTATTGATTACTCCAAAAGCCGTTTATTATTGTAATGYTGTCCTTTGTTTATCTCTGTATATTGGAGTGGTTTTTATTAATCAAAGTGTATACTACGTTCATTATATCCTTGAGATGAAGCATTTTGTAGTAATAGGCCTTTTGCATGAAACGGTCACATGGTACAAAATCCGCCATACTGGATGGCAAAAGAATGTAAACAACCTCAAAAACAAAAGGAACGCAGCCCGTGAAGCTTGACTTTTCTTTGTTTTGAAAATCCCAGTGGGTATTTTGCCATCCAGTATGGCGGATTTTGTACCATGTGACCGTTTCATGCAAAAGGCCTATTGTACAAAACTTTCCTTAACAACTGAAGACAAAGAACTTTTCCCTAATTTACTTCATTTAGTTTGCAAACTATTTACTATTTTACAGATAGATGGGATGGCAACTGTAATAGATATTATTATTATATCCTATCATCATGGTATGTGACCGTGCCGGGGTAAATTGGAGGAATCTTCTTATTATTTACACCATTTCTAACCGATATTACTGAAATAAACTGTCAATGATTTTAAGTAAAGTCATGTATCACGTGAACTTGGAAAGAAACTGTTGTCATGATGTCACTTTTTATCACTGATGGACATACTTATAATTGAGAACCTGGAAACCACTCTGCTTTTCGTCGTGGTTTCCTACGATTACCTCGCGTTYTCCCTACATCGCGCGTGTTTTGATCAGAGTATCAAGCGCGGAAATCCGTTTTATATTTCTCTTATAATAATACTCCTCCATTTTCCATTGCTAGCATGATGTCACGCTAGAAATCGATCTGTATTCAGGGTTCATAGCAACATGACGTCATTGTTAGTAAAGGAAGGACGCTGTCGCCTGCAGCGAAGCATCGTCGTCAGGATTTGATCGCCTTTGATTAGGTCCTCGAATGGTCTCGCAGAGTCCGAAGAGAGTAGAGTTACTTAACTATCAAGAACGGAGATTAGCCATACACATCATCCCGAGATCCCAAGAAGTTCGAGGTAATTTTAAGTATTTTATTTTGTAATTGTTTTTTGCAGAAAAACAATGCAAAAAATGGTACTCCGATCATTAGTTAACAAAGACTTTTAAAAACAATTCATTCAAGTATATATCAAAATGTAGGATAAAATCGAGAGAGAGAATAGTAGTAGGTCCACTGTTTCTAGTTCTGCTGTGACGTTAATATTCCTATATGATAATAAGTTTGTCGGTTTTGGAGCGTGTTTACGTGTAAGAATAGATTTCCATACTGTTTGACTTTCAAATAGAGTGACAGTCCACTCTGAAAGTGCATCATTTTCAATGCTTTCTTCTTGCTAAATGTCAGTGTCCTAGTTCACCTAGTTTCATCTAGTGATTTCATGGTTAAGTGATCACCACATTTGATTTAATTATACAGTCGACGTAGCGCATAGGTTTTTACCTGTCTGGACAGATTCCCAGACAGACTGNATCCATCAGGTTGAGGAGCAAAAGATGACTGTACAGTTTGAATTAGAAAATCTAGAATTCAAGTTGGATCCTGAGCCGCTTCTTACAGACATGGTCCATGCAGTAAGTATGCTGACAGCAAGTGGGTGATACAAGTCTAACTGCTAGAAAAGGTTTAAAAAAGCTGAAGTATTTTGAACAACAAAATTAAGATGTCCAGGATTATTCAAAAAAAATTTGTTCAAATGTTTTAAATTGCATTCTTTCATGCGTTTACATATCATTCCTATTGTYATTTTATTTAATATTCATTCATTTGTTTTATTTTCATTTTTCAGGCTGCATACAGAAATAACACACTTGGTCTTCCCAAGCTTTGTCCTCCTGACAGCTTTAACAAGATCAGTGCTAAAGCAATTTTGCAATACCTACAGCGATACTATTTACCATCACGAATGGTTGTAACTGGAGTAAATGTCGACCATCAGCAGCTAGTAGACTTAACACATAAGCATTTTGTTAATACCAAGCCTACATGGAGTGATGATAATGTTRAAGTGCCTCCCCCGGACCAGTCATTTGCACAATACACTGGTGGTATATATAAGGTGTGTTGGCCCCCCTGATTCCTGATCAACCACTTACAGAACACACTAATGTGAGGGTTTTGACAAATGTGGCCTTCTCTGCTAGGAATGAGATGTTTTGAGTTATGAATCCTAGCAGACAAGGCTACATTTGTCAAAACCCTCACTCATCATGCTGCTAAAGGATAATTTCCTTCGTTTAACACTAATGTGATATGTATATTATAGCTATCATAGTACGAGCTCTCTGATTGGTCAAATGTTATTGTTTATTTCACCGGTAAATGCAAGGATGTGAAAATGCTATAATATAAAAACAATAAACAACACATTTTTGTGTGTTCCTGGTGAAATAAACYACTTGGGATATTGGGAAAACACTCAAAAGGCTAAAAATATCGAGCCAGAGACTTTTCTTGTTCTCCCACTATCCCGCAGGGTTTATTTCAGCAGGAACGCACAAAAATGTGTTGCTTATTGCTTAAGTATATATTATGTTTAATAGTCTGAGGCACTAGTTGTACCTTTAATCTTCTAGAGTTAGGACCAATCAGGGGGGGGGATTATAAGACTCAATATTTATTACAACACCATTCAAACCCAGGAACACCTTGATGGTCCTCGTATCAACCCAGGTCCCACTCCGCTGCCAGACCTGGCTCACATTTCACTTGGTCTTGAAAGTGGACCCTACACCGACAAAGACTTTTTTGCGTTCACGGTTCTTAACACACTCATGGGTGGTGGTGGGTCATTCTCAGCTGGAGGTCCTGGTAAGGGAATGTATTCAAGGCTGTACTTGGATGTACTTAATCGACATCACTGGATCTATTCTGCTACAGCGTTCCATCATAGTTATGCTGATAGTGGTGTATTCTGTATTCATGCTAGTTCACATCCTAGTAAGGTACGCACATCAGATCAATGGGATTTTGGGACAATACATGCTTCAGTAGGCTTCGTCCTGAAAACAAAAAAGTTGAATATTAGGAGTTTTACTTTATTTCATTTTTTTTAGTGAGATCATAGTTAATACAGTCAACTTTTGCTATTACAGACACCCTCAGAACCGTAATTTAGTGTCTGCAGTAGCAAGAGTCCGTAAAAACGAGACTTACTTTTAGTCATTTCTTTGGATTTTTCACTGGGGATTCAGTATTTTACTGTCCGCAAATCGAGGTGTCCGTTTTAGCGGGGTGTCCGTTAAGGCGAGAGTTGACTGTAGTATCCTTACATTACATAATTAGTTAATATTTTTAACAGTCTTGTTTGTAATCGCCATTAGCTCTATGATCTTGTCCGAGTTCTTACAAGAGAATACTTCAATCTAGTGGATGGCCCAATCAATCAGGTATTATGAG